GACCACCAAAACCCTAGCACGAAGAGAAGCCTGAAAAGCAGGCTTTTGACTTATTATTTTCTTTTAACAATCTCACTGGGAGAAGTGAGTAGTGCAATTAGTTATTCGTCTTCCTTCGGTGCTGGAGAAGTCAAGGGGTTGCAAGACATGCAATTTCCTTGTGCTAAGAGAAAAACATATCCTGCGTTTAAATAGGCTGCTCTTGGATAGCAAATAGATTTCCCCTAATTAATGGGCCCATCATCCTCGGTGGCATCTTCATAACAGCCACAAGTATTCGCATTGTTCACGAGAGCATTTGCAAACACACACTTATCTGACTTCACTCATATCCACAACTGACAGGAAGTACCGTATTTTCCGGCGTATTAGATGACTCGGCGTATAAGACGACCCCCGACTTTGGAGCCGATTTGCATGCTTAGAAAGTCGTCTTATATGCCGGAAACTACCGTAATTTCCGGCGTTTAAGACGACTCGGCGTATAAGACGACCCCCGACTTCAGAGCCGATTTGCATGCTTTAGAAAGTCATCTTATACGCCAGAAAATACGGTAGCATAATTTTGGGAAGGCAGCATCTTCATAACCGCCACAAGTATTTGTATTGTTCGCGAGAGCATTTGCAAACACACACTTATCCGACTTCACTCATATCCACACAACCGACAGGAAGTAGCATGATCTTTGGAAGGCATTTGTGGAGCACATCCTGAAATGGGGAGGACAGGAAGTTGTGAGCAATCTGTTTGGCGGGTGGGATTATAGTGTACTGCTTCTTTGGATGATGGGTCCACTAAACTAAAGGTCAGCAACTCCTACGAACAATAACTTCTCTTAGTAATAGACAATGAAATCCCCAGACGGTACCCCTTCGACACTAGTTCTTCACTTCTCAGTTGAACGGATTCAACCGTGGGAAATAAAGTTCTTATAGAAGAGAATCTTTGTAGCTCAGGGATGAACTGTGAGGATCTTAGTGCTCTCTGAACCTTGTTGTTTTGTTGCAGATGTTTCATTGCTCAACCAGGTAACATCATCAGTGGTAGAGGAGAGTGAGGTTTGTGGGGGGGGGAGGAGGAGGGAGGAGGAGGAGGAGGAGGGAGGAGGAGGAGGAGGACTGTCAGGTCATTGGTGCTTTCTGAGCTTGCAGACATTTTATTATCCAGCTAGGTAACATCATCAGTGCTAGAAGGGAATGGGGTTTGCAAGGAGGAGGAGGAGGTCTATGGGGTCCTTGGTGCTCTCTGAGCTTGGCTTTCTTGCAGATGTTTCATGACCCAACTAGATAACATCATCAGTGCTAGAAGGGAGTGGGGTTTCCAGAGAGGAGGAGGAGGAGGAGAACAACTATGGGGTCCTTGGTGCTCTCTGAGCTTGGCTTTCTTGCAGATGTTTCATGACCCAACTAGGTAACATCATCAGTGCTAGAAGGGAATGAGGTTTGCTGTCTGTTTATATGCAACCAAGTCACAAGCAACAGCTCAACAAAGCCTCAATCAAGGAATCACCAATCAAACAATCTTCTAATCCAGGATCCACCAAGAACATTCCAACCAACACTGACAGGGCAAGTCGCTTGTATATAAACAGAGAGCAAACCCTCTCCCTTCTAACATTGATGATTTATCTAATCATCATTGCCTAATGAAACATTGCGTAATGAAACATCTGCAACAAAACAACCAAGCTCAGAGAGCACCAAGGACCCCCGCAATAAGACACGTCCTAGGCTTCACTGTAGACAAGGCCTTTATGCATGCTCCAGTCTTCAAGACCATGTCTCTGTCTTCACAGCGTCCTCCCTTCACCTCACCCTTGCTTTGTTTTAAGCAAATGAAAAGTTGTGAAGCCGAGGTTCTGTTAGGCAGAGTGAACCTTCATGTCTCCCTTGGGGGAAAAAAAAAAGTGGCTTAGCCTTTCTGGAAGACCTTGGGTTATTTTGCACGAATTCTTAGAGCTACAGCTAATTACAAGGTGAAATTACAGGCCTGGGGAGGGAAAGAGGTCTGCTTTTGTTCTTTGAAATGTATCCATATAAAATCTCGTGGTATTTAAATCTGAGACACATAATAGCCTTTTCAGCTCTGACCGCCCTCTGGGAGCTGAAACAGGTGCTCTCTCCGCTTTTAGCCTCCTCATTAATTAACAACACTCTCTCCCCCTTTGATAACTCCTCTGAGGTTCTCTGAGCACAATACTTTCTCTTTGCATACTCCTAGATGCCTGGCGGTGCCAGTCCTGAGGAATGGAGGTGGTTAATTTGCTTAAAGGTTAAGGATTCCCTCCCCCCCCCACTTTCCAAATTTTGCTGGACAAGCAAATTGTAAACATCAGGTAGAGACACTTGATCCTCCAGATGTGACTGGAAGACAAGTTGACTTCTACTTTCCATTCTTTTCTCTTCCCTTGCTTTTTCACCCTACAATGGGTGAAAAAGCAAGGGAAGAGAAAAGAATGGAAAGTAGAAGTCAACTTGTCTTCCAAGTTGGAAATATGCGCACCTATCGGGATCAAACTGGAGGTGGGCCTAAAACGGAATTCAGGGCACCCTAATGGTTTGAGCCGAGTATTCTACTCAGCTCAGCATTTTCATAGCCTGAATACATAATCCGGTCTTCAGTTTTGGACTTGCTTTCAGGATTGTTTTCCCATAGCTTGTCCTGCTGCACAGATTTGCTGGCGTCTTGGATTATAGAAGTTAACATAACTCTTTAAGAACCAAAACATCAAAAGGCAGGAGTTATATGAATAGCAAGCCCTGTCAGCTTATCTATCAGCTTATATATCAGCATCTCTCTCTTCTCTCTCTCTCTTTCTTTCTTTCTATCTTCATTATTATCTACACACACAAACATTTAAGAGACTTCTCTCTCTCTCTTCATCTATCTATCTATCTATCATCTACCATCTATCATCTACACATACTTAGGATGGTACTCTCTATCACTATCTCTCTCTCTCTCTCTCTCTCTCTCTCTCTCTCTCTCTCTCTCTCTATCTATCGATATATATCTCCATCTTCTATCTATCTATCTATCCATCTATCTATCTATCTATCTATCTATCTATCTATCTATCTATCTATCTATCTATCTCTACATATACATCTATCTATCTACTATCTATCTATCTATCTATCTATCTATCTATCTATCTATCTATCTATCTATCATCTACCATCTACACACACTTAGGATGGTACTCTCTCTCTCTCTCTCTCTCTTTATCTATCTATCGATATATATATCTCCATCTTCTATCTATCTATCTATCTATCTATCATCTATCTATCTATCTATCTATCTATCTATCTATCTATCTATCTCTACATATACATCTATCTATCTATCTACTATCTATCTACTATCTATCTATCTATCTATCTATCTATCTATCTATCTATCTATCTATCTTATCTATCTATTACCTATTATCTATCATCCACACACACAAACCCCACTCATGAATCTGAACATACCTAGCATCCCTGCTTCCTGTTTTTCCCACAACAACAACTCTAGACAGAGCTGAGAGAAACCTAGCTGGCTTCCATGCCTAAGGAAGGTCTAGAACTCATGTTCTCCTGGCTTCTAGGCCAGCACCTTGACCATTACTCCAAATTGTTACTCTTAATGCTTTATTTGTTTTAAAATCATTGCTGGAATAATGACTCTGCTTATATATTCTGGACAATGATATCCTGGGCTATGTCCACCTGTAGAAGGGGTAAAATGATTAGAATATTAGATTTTTCCAGTTTTCTTAGGGCCCGTTTGCATTACACAGCCAGCTCCTGGCTCTCCTAGTCAAAACATCTTCCTATACTCGCAAGAGATATTCCAGGATAACTGGGAAGGTTTGGCCAATAACTGTATTTTTAGTACTCACCGCTGCTGGTATTCTGGGGAATATAGGGCTTCACTGCCCACTTCTTTTCTTTCCAAAAATGGGGGGAAATCGTTTAAAAATCCTACTTCAGTTAGAGTTGCAAACACTACCGAGGATTGCCTTAAGCACCCATGTCCATTTCTGCCACTTTGTCACCTTCGTATGGCACCAGACAGCAAGAACTACTTCACTGGAGAGAGACTGGAAGAATTAATTGGGTTTTGGAGTTTACAAAACACATGCAACCTTATGTTTGAGTCAAGCACATTGGGCAAATAGTCTTAATATCTCTCTTTTCCAGACTTTTGCTGAAGCAGCATCTCTGCTAGCGAGAACAAACACCAAGATCAATTTACCCCCATTAGCGCTGTCAAAGGTCCTGAAGTTTCTGGTCAACTGCACAAAGCAACCACTCATTTAATCATTTTGCTAGTTTGAAGTTCCAACAGTCATGGAAAAAGTGACTTTAAAAGAGAATATTTGCAGCTCAGGGTTGAAATGAAGGGTCCTCATTGCTCTCTGAGCTTGGCTGTTTTCTTACAGATGTTTCATTATCTAAACCAAGTAACATCATCACTTTACAACCGATCCCTGTACTGTATTTATGATCTTCTCAGGTCTGTAAAGCAAAGGAAAGCTAAAACCAGATTGTAAGCACAGTTGTGTCTATGGAGATTCTCCATCATCCAGGTCCTGGTTGTCCCAAAAGTGCTTTTCAACAGGCAACTAGACTTTCTTGTGTGTTTTTTTTCCCTCGTGAAATTATTTCACTTCTTATCCAAGAAGTCTCTTCAGTTCTGAAGTGAACTGAAGAAACCTCTTGGATCAGAAGTCAAACATATTCAAAGAGAAACCAAGAAAATCCAGTTGCTTTTTGAAAAGTACCTTTGGAAGCAATTAGTGATTGCTTTGCTTAATGGCCAAGTTGCTCTTCCCGATTGTTGGTCAGTAAAAGAGGATGCCCTGTAATCCATCACTCCCATGAACGTTGAACCTGCAAAATTGATCTATCTAGAGATTTCTTCTGGAATATTAAAAACCAATGAGATATTTTGAAACTGCTGATGGGACACACAAAGTCAAGAGAAAATGGCATTTTACAGTGCTTACCTACTGCTTTCAGGGATGCATACTTATTCAGCTCCTTTCCTGGAGGCTGCTGTTCATATGGATTTGTAATCTGCCCCATGCTTGGGAAAGAATGTGGGTGAGCCAGTTGTGGAAGTAGAGGTGATGTCGGCATAACATTATTCATCTGGGTTGCGTCTGTGGAAAAAAAATAAATAGAAGAAGTCACCTTTCTGAAAACAAATAGGAGTTCAACCAGAATCCAAGCACGTACCCCCCCCCCCAAAAAAAACCAATTATGATTAACACTGCAGGCCAGCTTATTAGCTTGGCCATACCAAATAGTCATTCGTATTTTTCCATGTCTAACTGTTTAATGGGTGAGATATAAACACCAAACAACCCAGTCCTTTAACTGACTCCAACCTGTTCATTATTATTATTATAAGCCAGAAGGTGTCCCTGTGTTTCAAGCCCTGTGTGAAAGGAACTTGAGCACTCCTCCAATCACTATGCCATTTTTCCTTTCTTTATTATATTGCATAGTATCACTAGAAGATAATGCTTATAGCTCAGGATTGGACTGTGAGGTCCTTGGTGCTCTCTGAACTTGGTTGTTTACTTGCAGACGTTTCAATATCTAACTAGGTAACATCATCAGTGCTAGGAGGGAACGTGGGGTGTCTGGAGAAGAGGAGATGGAGGACTATGGAATTATTGGCGCTCTCTAAACTTGGTTATCTGCTTACAGACATTTCATTACCTAACTAGGTAATATCATCAATGCTAGAAAGGAACGGGGCTTGTTCTCTTCTTTGTATCGTATTTAAACATTTGTTTGCAACCACAGCTATTAGCAAGTTGCGTACAGCAATCATATCAGTTCAATGCATCTGCTTTAACATTAACAGCACTATTTGCCAGAAGATGCCTTCGTACTTTCTTTGCAGTCATTGCCAACAATGCAATTCGTTTTATCACATGCTTCTCTTCATCAGACAACAACAATGGAAAAAAATAGATGTTTTTTCTTCTTCTTCTAAGCTAGACTGATTCCATTGGATTAACAAGGGCGTAATGAATTTAGCTCTAGGTTCCTAGCAAAATTTGCACGGTAGTAAGTAATGGGTCATATTACCATCAAAGATGATTAGGGGACTGGAGGCTAAAGCATACAAGGAACAGCTGCTGGAATTGGGTAGGTCTAGTTTAACGAAGAGAAGGACGAGGGGGGACAGGATAGCAGTGTTCCAGTATCTCAGGGGCTGCCCCAAAGAAGAAGGAGTCAAGCTATTCTCCAAAGCGCCTGAAGGCAGGACAAGAAGCAATGGATGGAAACTAACCAAGGAGAGAAGCAACCTGGAACTAAGGAGAAACTTCCTGACAGTTAGAACAATTAACCAATGGAACAACCTGCCTCCAGAAGCGGTGAATGCTCCAACACTGGAAGTTTTTAAGAAGAGACTAGACAGCCATTTGTCCGAAATGGTATAGGGTTTCCTGCCTGAGCAGTGGGTTGGACTAGATGACCTCCAAGGCCCCTTCCAACTTTATCATTATTATTATTACCTCTGATTACAAGCCAGAAGATGTCCCTGGGTTACAAGATGACTGTGAACAAAGCTTGGCCATACCTCTAACTACTCTACCATTCTCCCTTTCTTGCGTTCAAACCCTCTTCCCAGAAGCCCACGAGGAAAACAGCCCCAAAAATAAATAAAAATGAAATGATTGCTCGGGGCGTGCCTGAGTTTGGCTGTGTTTTTCTCTCTCTCTCAATGGAGCCTCAAGTGCTTATGCCCCCCAAAGGAGGAATTGTCAACAAGAGAAGCAGAGAGCCGGGTGTGCCTGTGCCGAGTAAGGCGAGACAGAGAAAAGAATCAGGAAACAGAATCTATTACTAAATAAGCAGTTGCAAAGAGAGTAGAAAATGAAAGGAGACAAGAAACGGAAGAAAACAAGTCGGGGAGTTAGGAGAGGGTGGAGAAAGAAAGTTAAATATATTTTTTTCCCCTCCTTCTCTTGTATCCTTGAAGTCAGCTCTGCAATTTCACCCCGTAATCTTTAAAGAGAGATGGAGGAAGAGAAGAGATCGTCACCTAATTTTTGTGGGGTCCGCATCAGAAGGATATTACAAAGTAGAACTGGCTTGCAAGGGGGAATATATATATATATATTCTTGAATGGCTAGATACACATTCTGGAGGATGTAATTAAAAATGGGGTGAGGATCGTTTGAAAAATGGCAGAAAAGTTTCATTCAAATGTCAAACCTTGACGGATCTTTGAAATTAATCGGAAGGGGTTTTAAATACTACAGCACATTAGAGGCCACAGTGTCAACCCTTGATACGAAAAGATGGTGCCGTCTGCAGGAGTTTGCTGCCTTTGTCAGAAGGAAGCAACAGAAGTACACATAGTCCTTGACTTATGACCACAGCTGAGCCCAACATCACTGCAGTTGTTAAGTTAGTAACATGGTTGTTAAGTGGCTTCCCCCCTGACCTTGTTTGTCAGAAGGTCATAAAGGATGATCACATGATCCCAGGACATGGCAACCATCATAAATATGAGCCCGTTGCTGAGCATCTGAATTTTAATCACATGACCACTGGGATGCTGCAAAGGTCATAAGTGTGAAAAATGGTCATAAATCATTTTTTTCACTGTTGTAACTTTGAACAGCTACTAAAGGAATGGTTGCAACTCAAGGGCGACCTGTACAGAAAAGCCTGAGCTTGCAAGGTGATGCTGCCGTACCAATTTTATCATTCTTCTGCCATCCTTGCCCATCCCCAGATTGCATTATAATGTCTGGACATACTGCAGTCCTGCCCATGTGTTGACAACGGTCTCTGAGGTCTGGCTCCCCATCAATCAGAGCATCTCATTCTGCTTTCCCATCTTGCTAATGACAATTAATCAATAAAAGCCTCCCAGTGGATGACAATAGAAAACCATTTTCATCTCCCTGCCAAGAAATGACGTGGACATGTCTATGAAATCAGCCAATGGAGCAAACAGAGAGGAGACGTGACAGTTATACCATTACGTCGTCCAAAGGTTTATTTTTAAAGGCCTCCTCCCCAAATTCTGATCACTCAAAAGAGTTTTGATCCATCTAGGTGTATGACGTGGTCCTGCCCACTTTGCAGCGCCATTCCATCCACTGTGATCCTCAAGGCTGTAGGCAATCTACATCACAGACTGTATAGCAAGGGTCTTCAAACTTGGCTTTTTTATGACTTGTGGACTTCAACTCCCAGAATTCCTCAGCCAGCGTGCCTGGCTGAGGAATTCTGGGAGTTGAAGTCCACAAGTCATAAAAGGGCCAAATTTGAAGACCCCTGCTGTATAGCATAGATATCAGTGGCTAGAGAGTCATCGTGGGAAATGATGTCAGCTCTTTTGCCCATGCTTGTGAGGTTCATTGATCCCTTTGGTTGGCCACTGTGAGACCTAGAAGAATTAGATGGGATCTCTTTAGGTTCTTCTTGTGCTCTTTTGCTCATTCTGGATAAGACGCGTGAGTCCTTTAAGTATCGGCATCTACATTTTGAGTTGCAGAAGGCCCAGCCTTTAAGAATAGCAAATATTTACAAGTATTGTCAACCGAAGAGAAGGTCTAACACAGTCTTGTTTTGCTGTTCCTATTCTCTATTAGGAAAGGAATCCTCTTGTCCATCATCATCAACAGCCTGTCCTCTGGGATCGCGTTAGAATTCACAATGTGAAAAAGGCACTCGCCCATACAGCCTCTAATTATTTGTCATGTTCAAATGCTGCTCAGGTCGTTGTATACCAGGAAGAAAAAAAGAGAGAGAAGCAGCTACACAAGATATCTGAGATCATCTTTTTCTTCCTTTCTATATCCAGAGATTTAAAACAAGCTATAATACATCAGAGAGAGAGAGAGAGAAAGGGCAAGAAAAAAAATGGAGTCCATAGGCAGAAGGACAACATGATGTAGTAATCAAAAGTAGATTTAATAAATGCAATTTTGCATTTACGGTTAGCTCTCAACTTACAACCATTCGTTTAGTGACACTGAAAAGAAGTGACTTGCGACTATTTTTCACACTTATGCCTATGGTAGCATCCTCCTGTCCAAGGAATCAAAATTCAGGTGCTTGGCAACTAGCGTGCATTTATGACAGATGACACTGTCCTGGTCTCCTGTGATCACCGTTTGCAGCCTTCCCAGCTGGATTCAGACAAGCCAGGTTCATTGGGGAAACTAGATTTGCTTAACAACTGCATGATTCACTTAGTGGCAGTGATTTGCTTAATAACCATGCCCAAAAGGTGGTAAAATGGAGTGCAACTCATTCAACAACTGTCTTGCTTAACAATGGGAATTTTGGCTTCAGCTGTGGTTGGAAGTCGAAGACTGCCTATTCTTTGTAGACCAGCCTAACATAAAGGACTGGAGGAGCAGAAATGAAAACTTATGGTGGACCATTAATCTATGGTCTTTTGAAATTCACTGTTTGGTAGTCTTCCCCGGATACGTTTAATCAAGCAGCGTTGATTCATGTACTGTTGGCATGTCCAAAAAGGGTCTAAGGCAGGGGTCTTCAAACTTGGCCCTTTTATGACTTGTGGACTTCAACTCCCAGAATTCCTCAGCCAGGCACGCGTGGCTGGCTGAGGAATTCTGGGAGCTGAAGTCCACAAGTCATAAAAGGGTCAAGTTTGAAGACCCCTGGTCTAAGGGAACTAGACTGAATCCAAAGAAGACTAAATCTTTCATAGAATTAAACCAGCTCCACCAAATCAGCTCTCTTACCCTTCCCATGTTATGTAAAAAAGATGAAGACAGCCCGCTAAAGAGCACTCCTGCTGATTAAATCTCCCACCCCAAATTGTGTGTTTCTGCATGCACAGGAGATGTTTGATCACCATCTATAAAATGTTTGAAGGCAGGGGAACATGTTATCTGTGAGCTGTCTTTCTCCAATTGTTTTTTTTTTTTTTTTTTTTTTGCCATCTCGCCAGATCTAGAACAACAAAGATGATTAGGGGACTGGAGGCTAAAACATATAAAGAACGGTTGCTGGAATTGGGTATGTCTAATTTAATGAAGAGAAGGATTAGGAGTGGCATGATAGCTGTCTTCCAATATTTGAGGGGCTGCCACAAAGAAGGGGGGGGGGCAACCTATTCTCCAAAAGCACCTGGGAGCAGGACAAGAAGCA